GTGACACTGTGTGTGTGACACTGTGTGTGTGTGTCACTGTGTGTGTGTGTCACTGTGTGTGTGTCACTGTGTGTGTCACTGTGTGTGTGTGACACTGTGTGTGGTGTCACTGTGTGTGTGTGACACTGTGTGTGTGACACTGTGTGTGTGTGTCACTGTGGGGTGTGTGTCATGTGTGTGTGTGACACTGTGTGTGTGTTGACACTGTGTGTTGTGTGTTCACTGTGTGGTGTGTGACACTGTGTGCGTGGGTGTGTGTACACTGTTGTGTGTGGGTGTAACAACTGTGTAACCACTGTGTGTGTGTGACCTGGTGTCAACACTGTGGTGTGTGACACTGTGTGTGTGTGTAGGTTGTGTGTGTGCACTGTGTGTGTGTGACACTGTGTAACACTGTGTGTGTGGTGTGTGGTGTGACACTGTGTGTGTGTGTGTACACTGTTAACACTGTGTGTGTGACACTGTGTGTGTGTTGGTAACACTGTGTAACCACTGTGTGTGTGACACTGTGTATGTGTGTGTGTGTAGGTGTGTGTGTGTTCACTGTGTTGTGTGTGACACTGTGTGTGTGTGTGACACTGTGGTGTGTGTTGACACTGTGTGTGTGTAACACTGTGTGTGTGTGTAACACTGTGTGTGTGTAACACTGTGTGTGTGTAACACTGTGTGTGTTGTGTGACACTGTTGTGTGTGACACTGTGTGTGTGTGTCACTGTGTGTCACTGTGTGTGTGTGGTCACTGGTGTGTGTGGGTGTCACTGTGTGTGTCACTGTTGTGTGTCACTGTGTGTGTGTCACTGTGTGTGTGTGTGTGTCACTGTGTGTGTCACTGTGTGTGTGTGTCACTGTGTGTGTCACTGTGTGTGTGTGTCACTGTGTGTGTGTGTCACTGTGTGTGTGTGTGTGTCACTGTGTGTGTGTCACTGTGTGTGTGTGTCACTGTGTGTGTGTGTGTGTCACTGTGTGTGTGTCACTGTGTGTGTGTGTCACTGTGTGTGTGTGTGTCACTGTGTGTGTCACTGTGTGTGTCACTGTGTGTGTATGTGTCACTGTGTGTGTGTGTCACTGTGTGTGTCACTGTGTGTATGTGACACTGTGTGTGTGTGTGACACTGTGTGTGTGACACTGTGTGTGTGTGTCACTGTGTGTGTGTGTCACTGTGTGTGTGTCACTGTGTGTGTGTCACTGTGTGTGTGTGACACTGTGTGTGTGTGTCACTGTGTGTGTGTGACACTGTGTGTGTGTGACACTGTGTGTGTGTGTGACTTGTGTGTGTGTGACACTGTGTGTGTGTGTGTGACACTGTGTGTGTGTGTGTAACACTGTGTAACACTGTGTGTGTGTGACACTGTGTGTGTGTAACACTGTGTGTGTGACACTGTGTGTGTGTGTGTAGGTGTGTGTGTGTCACTGTGTGTGTGTGACACTCACTGTGTGTGTGTGTGACACTGTGTGTGTGTGTGTAACACTGTGTAACACTGTGTGTGTGACACTGTGTGTGTGTGTGTAACACTGTGTAACACTGTGTGTGTGACACTGTGTATGTGTGTGTGTGTAGGTGTGTGTGTGTGTCACTGTGTGTGTGTGTGACACTGTGTGTGTGTGTGACACTGTGTGTGTGTGACACTGTGTGTGTGTAACACTGTGTGTGTGTAACACTGTGTGTGTGTAACACTGTGTGTGTGTGTGACACTGTGTGTGTGTGACACTGTGTGTGTGTGTCACACTGTGTGTGTGTAGGTGTGTGTGTGTGTCACTGTGTGTGTGTGACACTGTGTGTGTGTGTAACACTGTGTGTGTGTAACACTGTGTGTGTGTGTGTAACACTGTGTGTGTGTGTAACACTGTGTGTGTGTAACACTGTGGGTGTGTACACTGTGTGTGTGTGTGTCACTGTGTGTGTGTACACTGTGTGTGTGTACACTGTGTGTGTGTGTGACACTGTGTGTGTGTAGGTGTGTGTGTGTGTGACACTGTGTGTGTGTGTAACACTGTGTGTGTGTGTGTAGGTGTGTGTGTGTGTAACACTGTGTGTGTGTGTGACACTGTGTGTGTGTAACACTGTGTGTGCGTGACACTGTGTGTGTGTGTCACTGTGTGTGTGTCACTGTGTGTGTGTAACACTGTGTGTGTGTAACACTGTGTGTGTGTGTGACACTGTGTGTGTGTAACACTGTGTGTGTGTGTAACACTGTGTGTGTGTGACACTGTGTGTGTGTGACACTGTGTGACACTGTGTGTGTGTGTGTAGGTGTGTGTGTGACACTGTGTGTGTGTGTAACACTGTGTGTGTGGCACTGTGTGTGTGTGTAATACTGTGTGTGTGTGTCACTCTGTGTGTAACACTGTGTGTGTGTAGGTGTGTGTGTAGGTGTGTGTGTAGGTGTGTGTGTAGGTTTGTGTGTGTGTAGGTGTGTGTGTGTAGGTGTGTGTGTGTGACACTGTGTGTGTGTGTGTAGGTGTGTGTGTAGGTGTGTGTGTGTGTGACACTGTGTGTGTGACACTGTGTGTGTGTGTGACACTGTGTGTGTGTGACACTGTGTGTGTAGGTGTGTGTGTAGGTGTGTGTGTAGGTGTGTGTGTGTAGGTGTGTGTGTGTG